TTCTGCTCACCACAGTTGTAAAGAGTGATTATGAGAGTCACTATATCCTTCCTGGCAGCTCGAACCAATCTGGCCATTTTCCTCTGACCTCTCTTATCAACAAGGCATTTCTACCCACAGAACTGCTGCTCACTCAGTGTTTTTTGTTTTTTGTTTTTTGCGCCATTCTGTGTAAACTCTAGAGACTGTTGTGTGTGAAAATCCTAGGAGATCAGCAGTTTCTGAAATACTCAGCGCTTCTGGTACCAACATCCACGTTAAAGTCACAGACATCACGTTTTCCCCATTCTGATGTTTGATGTGAATATTAACTGAAGCTCTTGGCCTGTATCTGCATGATTTTATGCATTGTGCTGTTACTACGTGTTTGGCTGATTGGATAACTGCATAAATGAGCAGGTGTACAGGTGTTCCTATTAAACTGGACGGTGAGTGTACATACATACATTACATACTAGCTGCTGTACTACAGGCCTCTAAATCATTTAAATGAAAGTTTGACCTTTTGTCGTCTCTAATAATGTAGGCTTTACAGAAACTTTTTGTACTACAAATGAATATTTAAATAAAAAATAAAGATTGTATATTATTCTTAGGTATAAATGATAATCACATAATTGATTAGACATATGAATCAGAGCAGAGAAGTCCGGCACCAAATTTCCCAATCCTAAAGTTTTACTTTAACAACTCAAATGTGAATTTTAACTCACATATTCTGTGTCACTCCAATGTCCTCCTGTGTTATTTAACAATAATCTGCAGATAAATGATAAATAATCAAACACATGGCTAACAATAAAAGTTACGGTATAAATGCATAACAAAGGAAGATAAAGTACTGGAAAACTACGACAGAAATCACTATTAAAATCAGAAGAAAAATGCCCCCTGTCACATCAGCATCCACGTCTGCCCTTTATATTATTTAAAATAACCACTTTAGGTGACTTCTTTTTCTGGAAGTTGTTATTCAGTCGTGAGCTCAGGAGGGTTGAACCTTGTTGCCCTGTTGCATAGCTCACAAGGCCATTACAGTGGCAGGCAAATAAAGAATAATGCTCTTGTTTTCAGTTTAGAGATTTATGAACTGTCCTTGCAGTTTTCCTGTCTGGTTTGAGTTATGCAGGTCTATATTGAAATTAAACACTGTCAGTGATTCTATGTACAATTTGGAATTATGAATATATGTCAGTATGCCCTTCAGAAATTGATGATACCCCTATGCTGCTTATTTACCCACTCCCGGTATAAATTAAGCACGTCTGTGTTTTTAGACACATTTTAGAGAAGTCCAGTCTGGTTCGTTCTGGTTTTACTGATGGAAATGAGTCTCATCTTCAATTTAGTGATCTGTTACTCATACAGTTCTGATCATTTAAACATCAAACATGATACAGTTCAGAATAATTAGATAGGTTTGCTTGCTATCTAATGATGAAAAGGTTTGCATTCTTGATTATTACCTAACTATCTAGCTTGGCTGCATAAAAAATATTGACTAGATTGCTTTTCTAGCTAAGGACAAATGTTAGACAGCTTATTCTCATATTCTTTTATTTATTTATATTGCAATTTGTTACCCACCAGTCAGTGACTGGTTTATAGAGTGAAGTTGTTTTAGTGGGGGAGTCTCTGGTACATCTGAATCAAACTTTTTTAATTGCTGTTATTCTGACTGGAAAGAATTTGCAAGTTAAAACTTAGGTTCATTTTAGTCATCTTTGTGGAAATTTATATGTGACTTCATATAAATGACATTAGGACTACAGAAGTTTCCGTAAGTTGTGTTATTTCTAGCTCTGTCTGGTTCACACTCCACAGTGACCATATATAGCCATCAGAAGATGTTCTGGAGATTCATTTTCTCACTGCTTAATTTGTGAAAAATGAGTCATACAAATGAGTCTGTATTTTTAGAGAAATCTCCTTTTTTGTTCAGAAAGAGAGCTTCAATAAGACGTATCGTATCAGGCGTATTTGCATCCACTAGCATTAACCAGTCAGAAATGCTAATCATATAGTCAGCTATAGAGTGGATAAAGAGAGGATAAATCTTGCAAGGCATCTGTGCCAGACATTAAAAGGATGTCTAGACTTTGGACAAAGTGAAAGTGTGTGAGTGTAAAACAGTGTGCTTTGCGTCAAGTTGGTACACAATGTTCTGTACAAACACTCCCATATAGCATATCCCTTCAAAGACTAATCTGGCCCTTAAACTTGTTGTTTTAGCAGATCTGGCTAAATGTTACAGGCTCAACAGCAAGTAGTGAGTGGTATATTGAGGTGGTATATTGAGGAAAACCCACTCAACTCTGTTATCCATGCATAGCCAACTAGTTAGACTGTGGAAACTGTGGGACTGACCTGAAGCGTTGAGCGAGACCCAACTTGGTGGGCATACGAGGCGAATGGAGGGAAACCAATAAATGATCACTATGAGTGTCCAGCTGACTTTGCAAGCTCAACAATGGGTATTATCTCTCACCTACACTAGAGGAAGATATGTGCAAATCATCCATACTGAGCAACAGAACAGTTTATACATAACTCGCTAATAGTGTGGGAGTGATACTAACCCAGGGTAGCAAGATAACAAGGAATCTCATTTCACACTAGCCACAGAGTTCCAAATGGACTCTGAAAAGTAGGAAAATACACTCATCACAGCCATGAAGAGATGATAGGAGTTTATCGCCAAATTTGGAGGGTGTCTATAGATCCAACTGTAGTTAGAACCTGTTATGCAGATTGTGTGTATGAGGTGTATGTGAGGTCCAATATGTGTATGAGATGAAAAGATAAAAGAGAAGTATGGCTGTAAAAATTCAAGTAGCACCAAAGGTTTGCAGCCTTATAAAAGTAGGAAGAGGTGCCCTGTGCCTATGGGAGCTGACATGCTGCAATGGCTGAACTGGCACTATTGGAAAATTTAGCACATGCTGCACTTAGGAGGTGCTCTTTCGCTGTTTTGTCATTTAATCATTATTTTTGTTGTTCAGCTGTCTGTAAATCTGGGGGTGGGATTTTTATTTGCTTTGGCCTATGAATTTATACACCATGGTTATTGTGTTATTATTAGAATATTTTCGCTAACAGTTAGGATACATAATCATAATGGTTAATACTTTTGGGACCCAGCCCCAGACATGTCAGAGCTATCTTATAGTAATTATAGATCTAAGAGTAAATTTAGATGCGGAAATTATTTGCTTGAATCAGCTGAACCTGAACCTGAGTTTGGTAATGCTTGAAAAAAAATGTGATGCTACTGAAAATTTCCATGTGAATCTCATTTTAGTACTGTGTATTGGTTCAACTGAATTCAACTATTTAAAATTCAGGTCTTGAAAATTTAGGTTGAAAAAATGTGAAAATTCAAGCTGTTGAAAATTTAGGTTAAAATAACTTAGATATTAACTTTTTTTTTATTAAGTTTATTTAAGTTAAGTTTTTTAAAGTCAAATGATCCAGGGCAAACGAGCCGGGATCTAATCTCTAAACTAATCTCTAATCGCGGCCAAATCCCAGCACATCACTCAGGTCATGGAGAGGGGCTTTTTTTGTCTCATTCCATGCCGATGTAAGGTGCCATGGCAGAGGAGCGCACTTGTGGGGCTTTCGCAATTTTAAGTTGCTTGTGCTGCCTATTCTTGATATGAATTCAAATGAAACACCTAAATGAAGAGCTAAGCTACTGCTTGATTTCTAGCAGATTTATTTTTCGTCAGCGAATCCAGCTATGCTTTAGCAAATGACTACAGTAAAACCAGCCACAGTAGAAAGCCTCTTATATACGGGGTTTTAAGGTAAGCGCCAGATACTTGGGGGAAAAGTGTGATTAGCACTTTTTTCAAATCTTTCAATTCAATTACCGTCCACAAGGGGATTTTAATTTAGAACACAGGTTCTAAAAACATTTGGTGGCCGGGTTTAGAACCTTTATCGGGCCGGTCCTGACCTGCTGGCTGTATGTTTGACACCTCTGCTCTGCATTTTAACTGTACCAGATGATTAGCAGCTTTCTAACTTGTATTTCACATAACTGTGGTCTAAACCATGTTAGATATTGTTTGCTGCCAGAAAGTTCTGTCTTCAGAGCTAATTTGTTAATGGATATGCTACTAATTTTGTTTATGTGTACATCACATCTGTTCCAGTAGTCAATTTTCAAATTGGAATTACTCTGCAAAACATAAGAGACGGACCTACAATGTGTGAGGGCTTTTATTTATTTATTTATTTATTTATTTATTTATTTGCATTTTTACACTAGGTGTTGGATGCATTATGTTTTTGGGTTGTCCGTGTGTCCATCTGTCCGTCTGAGATTATTTTTAACTTGATATCTCAAGAATGAGTGGTTGAATATTTGTAGGATTTATATGTCATTATGAGTGTAACCAGTAGATGAACTGATTGTATTTTGGAACTGATCCAAACAGGGTCAAGGTCACTACAAGGTCAAATGTCTGAATTTTCTTCAATGGCTTCCTTCCTGTTTAAAGTATATTTTAAGGGTGTTTGTGGCATACAAATTAGTAACAAGGACTAGATATGTTCTACTTGTTTAAGAATGAAATCATGTGCCACCCTGGAAGATGGAAGGTGGTCACCTATCACTTAGGGATATTGTATCACTCTTATGTGAACTGTATCCAGGCAGACTCTGAGGTTGACTGCACTCTAAATATTCAGAAGGGAGTCAGATGAAGTGGATGAAACCTTCTTACAGTGTGATGCTACTGCCTAAATCAGCAAATGCAGGGGGTCAAGCAATCAAGCCCAGAAACAGCATGTAATGCATAGATTTTAATCGTGTAGATCTGCTCAGCTTTCTTTAAAGGAATCTCTACTGTAATTTGTGTATTGACTAATCAGTAGCAGCATCATCCTGTTGCATAACATACTATTCATATTCATATACAGTATTTATATTCATATTTATATAAATATACATTGACAGAAATATTGCTTTTATATAGATACACTATAATGGGTCCCTGGAGGACTAGTGGTTAGGCCTCGGTGCTCCCACAGCTGGGGCCCGGGATTGATTCCTGGCCAGGGAACCAACCCCAGCCACTTGGGTTACATGCAACAGTGCACTCTCAGTGCCGGTCCCAAGCCCGGATAAAATTGGGGAGGGTTGCGTCAAGAGGGGCATCCTGTGTTAAAAACTGTGCCAAATCAAATACGTGGACTGATGATTAAAGAGGAGCAACAGCAACATATAGATACACTATACTGTACAAATGCAGTGACAAAATATTTTTCCAAAAAACAAAGACTGGATTTCACATTTTTAAGAACAGAGTAATTATGAAAGATGTGGTTGCGTTCACTGGGGGTTGTAACACCCCTATTAGTACTGGTTTACAGTTTAATAACAAGTTGTGTCTCTTTTGTTTGGTCTCACAGCCTGACGAACTGACAGATGTTCTGGAGATTAGCAATATTGTCTTCACCAGCATGTTTGTCCTTGAGATGATCTTCAAGCTGATGGCCTTTGGCATCTTCGGCTACATCAAAAACCCATATAATATCTTTGATGGGATCATCGTTGTTATAAGGTAAAGTACACTGTACATTTTACTACGCAGCCATGCACTTTTGTGCCATGCTTCACTCAGGGCTCAGCCTAATTCTATAATAATAAAGTCTATATTTTAGTTGAACCCACCATGTGCCATCATCCTGCATTTGTGTAATGTATGGAAAGCGTGTGCTGATCCTGCTGACTCAGTGTATGTGTGTCCTTGCTAGTGTATGGGAGATTATTGGACAGGCCGATGGGGGTCTTTCCGTGCTCAGGACCTTTCGTCTCTTGCGTGTGCTCAAGCTAGTGCGCTTCCTACCGGCTCTCCGGAGACAGCTGGTGGTCCTGATGAAGACAATGGATAATGTGGCCACCTTCTGCATGCTGCTCATGCTCTTCATCTTCACCTTCAGGTGATAAGGGACCCAACTGTCCACTTACACAAATATATATTGAGTGAAGTAAATTGAGTTGTATTAACCACTAAAAGAAGGGCAGATGTCAACAGCTGTTATTTAAGATATTCTCTGGAGTAATTCTCTGAAGTTTTTGCAACTAAATTTTCTGATAAGGATGGGATCTTTATAATATGACATCATGGAAGTGTTATTAAACGTAATCATTATGTATCAACAAATCTCATCTAGTTTCTAAATGGACCTTTACATTTAATGTCCCAAAATATGAAAACAGTGTGATTTGACAGATAGATACAAAGTTTGCTGCTGATCAGAAATTTTTACTTAAAAAACATAATATTGAATGCATTCCAATATTAATGCGCCTATAATTTTATTCTGCACACAGACAAAACAAACACTGTCACTATGGTGAAAAATGTGTAGCTTCCTTATCAAAATAAATCACAAAAAGACAGCATCAGTTTTATCATAAACGTGTCAGATTCTTTTCTTTTTTTTATCATCCAGAGTAATGTTTTCATGTTTCTGATATTTAGCTAGAATATACATTTTTAGGCTACACCATGACAGGTTAATGTTCAATGGAAATGGTTAATTAGTTAAATAAGTGCATTTTTTAACCCATTAAATACACAAATATTATCAAAATTTGAATAGTATGTAAATTGTAAATTGATTTTTAAGAGACTTAGTGTATAGTAAGCCACACAAATAAGTTCATAAGTTGACAGCTTATGCTAAAATAAAATATTTTGCTTGGCACATAGCATACAGTTGATGCATGGATAGGCATGTAACTTAGTCTTGACTCTTTATTAGCCAGAGAAATATACACATGGGAAAACTAATATGGGTGTGGAGTTCCTTGCTACTCTTCTCGATGGGTTGCTAGGTGGTGTATATAACATCAACTAGTGTAGAGTGATGCCCACACTTCATTTCAACACTTCATTTCAACACATTTCAACATTTGAACAATTGGGATAAGTCAATCAGTCAGCCAGTGAGAAAAGATGCCTCTTCTAGGCCTGTCCACTCGGCAGTCTATCAAAAAATTGTATTAATTCACACCATTCAATCATCTCTGATGAAATGTTATGATAATAATCTTTTGAATTGTCTATACAATCTTTCACTTGCTCTGTAATGTTGTACAGTATTCTTGGAATGCATCTGTTTGGCTGCAAATTCAGCCTGAAGTTGGAGAATGGAGACACCATCCCAGACAGGAAGAACTTTGACTCTCTGCTGTGGGCCATCGTCACTGTGTTTCAGGTTAGAGCATGAACATTACTGTCTCAAATGCACTTTGAAATGAGTGATAAATAAAAAGGAGGAGGTGAAAAAGGCACACATTATCACTGACACACAGGCTTGCACATAATGTGCAGCTGTTAAGGTGGCTTTAGACCTGTACACACTCAATTATATGAGAAAGGTGGACTGGCTTTTTGTGCTTCTACCAAGGGCCAAATAAAGGCATCCTGCAGTTTAACAGTTTTTCCTCTATGCCATTATTGTTTCCACAACTGCATGGAGGAGAACGATCATTTTAAATGCCCTGAATTATGTGCTTGTAGTGTTTGCTGCATCAGCAGAAAGACATGCTGCTATAGTGCTGCACCTGCAGTTTGTTGGGCTGTATTGTGCACATTTAGAGGCATGCCTGCTACTGAAGACATTTACTGATCTAGTATCATGCAGGGAACATACAAATTGCAGCCAAGAACTTGTAAAGACTAATGAAAAGGCAACTGTCTTGATTTGAATTTAGTTTAGTGAGACAATATGTTAATTTATGTGGTGGAAGATCCTCACTCACACAGATATACACAGACACACACACAACTATACACTCCTGGGCAAAAAAAAAAAAAAGCTCCTGTGCCCCATTTGCTCGTTTCCTTTGGCAAGTGTTTGGGGAAAAGCTAGAAACAGAGAAATTCACTTATAGTCTTTTTGTACACAAAGGTAAAATCATGATAATGATTTAAATGTTTGATGTAAAATTCAAACTAACACATGTCTGGGTGTACAAAATTTTCCAAAAAATATCTTCTGGGATTTTTTTTCTTAAAAGATTAGTCATTATTTGGTTATCTGCCACACCTGATGCAGCTCATCAAGGGCCACAAGCCTTAAACATTTAAAGAAATCAAAGGGAAGAGCTCCCATACTAACTTCCTTTATCTATTTGTTTCATTCTTGCTAATTTCCTGACCAATGATTTGTTGTTAAGACCATTAAAATCTTAATATTTTGCCATTTTGGGCTTGGCCCATTTTTTGCCCAGGAGTGTAAAGCACATAAAACTAGATAAATTCTCTATATAAATACAAATGGAGTAAATAGCAACACCAGCTGTTCATCTGTTATGATTTTTTTGTCTCAGTTGTACAATACAGGCTCGTGTTTTTGTTACAGATACTAACTCAGGAGGACTGGAATGTGGTCCTCTATAATGGAATGGCTTCCACCTCTCCGTTGGCTGCACTTTACTTTGTGGCCCTGATGAGCTTTGGGAATTACGTCCTATTTAACCTTCTGGTAGCCATCTTGGTGGAGGGCTTTCAAGCAGAGGTATGATAATATTCAATATTTAGCAATATACTGTGTGTGTGTGTTAAATATCCAAAGTTAAAAGAGCACAATGCGTATAAACTATTTGCTGTTCTGACCTTTGAGCGTTTTCTTGTGTAAGAGAGGAGCTACGGTATATTAACTCCGGTGTCTGAGCATTTGTTGTAACAACAATATTTCACCCTGAATTTCATAAATCCACACAAGAAAATAGTAATAGCATTTGAAGGCAATACAAAACATACAAACAGCTTTTTATCTGGCATGTACTAGTAACTTTAGTAATGACTACAAGGAGCTTTGAATTGAATGCACAGAATGATATTAACAAATGTGTGAATACTGTGCTTGCTAGAAATCATGTGGGTGAGCAGTTCATCATGTGAAAAATGTAACTTTACTGTTAGGATCTTCAACAGATACATTTTTGGCTTATAGACAAGTTCTTATTTAAAAGGGGATGATATTAAAAAAAACTAGTAGGCATAAACTGCACACAGGTCATTGCAATATTCTTTACGGGCTGCAACAGGAAATCAAATTATGCACCTGCTTAGCATAACTCTCAAATGTCTTTTCGCACTGAATATATTGATGGATCTTTTGACGTTAGTTGCCAAATCTAAATATGGCCCAATAAAAACACTGAATTCTGTATATAGATTTTCCACTGTATACATGGTTGGGCTCTTCTGATGTGCTGATGCAGGTTGTGTGAACAAGCATGTGTGTGTAAAAACCAGCATCACAGCACTTTCACAAAGAGACCTTTGAGCCGAACACCGAGAGCTCTTAAAGCTATAAACTGCAGTTCCTTGTTGCCTACAACCTAAAGGTCTAACATGGACAATTGAGGCTAATAAGAATTTTTTATTAATGTTATCAGTATATGCTCATAGTCATTTTCACATAAATAATCTCCAGTTATGTAGTAATACAGGTCTTTATGAATAATGACCAATGTGTAGTGAATAAACCTTTTATAAGTGTCTAAATTGATCTTTATGAAACAAATTACAAGACATTAATTAACCACTTTTATGCATGTTTTCCAAAATAAAGTGCTACCAAATGGTTTTATTGATGCCAAAGAACCAGGCACTGGACCTCTAAAGAGCTTTGTCTTTAAAATGCGTTTTCTGCATTGTAGGGAGATGCCACCAAGTCTGACGCAGATGAGGAGAAGAGGTCAGTTAATTTTGAAGAAGAGGAGAAGATGGGTGAATTACGTGCAACAGGTTATTGTTTAAATTATTTTCTTACAATAAACACTAAAAAGACATGGATGATCAAGGGAAATTCATTTCACTACTGTGGGTGCTGCATTTAGTTTATCCAGTGGACTGTGGATGTACTTTGCGTTATACAGTATGTCAATTTGGCGTTATATTTCTTCCTGTTTTCCCGAAATTGATTGCTCTCTTGCAATTATCACTAGCAGAGTTGAAGATGTACTCTCTGATGATGTCTGCAAATGGGCATGTGGACGCACGTGGTAATTTGCCTCCACCGATCATCATGCGCACAGCCG